TTCTAATAAGAGCACCCTCTGTACGGTGCTATGATGAACATCACTTTTGTATTATACAATGACTCTCAAAGGATATCTTAGCCAGATTTCATAGCTTCTCCACCATATTTTTTGGTAACAGTCACATATTGATTTTACAATTCAGACCCATTCTTTTGAGAACCATAACCTAATTTGGAAATGTTCTCTTCCTCCCGGCACCACCACATCCCTCACCTATGGCTCCATAGGCTTGCAATGGAAGTATTTATTTCAAACACTTCCTCTTCCATTATTATCTGGGTATTAGTTTCTTCACTCTTTGGGAGGAGAGCCAGGCAAGGGTGCAAACCTCTCTCTTGTTTGTGGTTCTCTTGTGAGGCAATAGTGATTCCTTCCTAAAAGAGATCTAGGCTTTGACCCACCCACCACTGCTCCTCCTATGTTGATGTCTTAGTCAGTTTGGGAAGCTCTAACAAATATTGTAGATAAGGTGGATTAGATAACAAACATTTATTTCTCACAATTTTGATGACTGGGAGTCCAAGATGAGGTGCCAGTGGTTTCAATATTTGGTGAGATCCCTTTCCTGTTTGCAGCCAGCTGCCTTCTTATCCTCACATAGCCAAGAGAAATAGGTCATTTCTCTCATGTCTCTTCTTATAAGGGAAGTAGTCCCATTCATGAGGTTTCCACTCTAATGACTTAATTACTTCCCACAGGTCCCACTTCCAAATAGCATTGCATTGGGGATTAGGTTTTCAACATATGAATTTTGAGGGATATAAACATTCAGTCCATAGCAATTGGCATATCTTATTTAGTAGACTCTCATAGACAACTTGTACAAAAAGAATCAATGCCACCTACACTTTTTGTGTACACATAACCAGGAAATGTATGCTTTGTTGCCATGCTGAATATTGGAAATACCCTTATCTTGGCCTCACCAATTCTCTATATTTATATTTTCCACTGATAATGTGTAGCACAAGTGCAGATAAGCTAAATTGTTCCTGAAGTAGGTATTCAACCAGGAGAACAGGAATAAAACAAATCAAACCTTTCGGTGCATTTCTCCTTTTCAGTTTGGTCCTTACACTGACTCTCAGTGGAGCAAGAAGATTAGGACTATGGGGAAATAGAGAGGGATGGGGAAGTAAAGCTGGTTCTGAGAGCACTCTCCAAGCCAATACTGTTTTTTTTCAATCATAATGTAACTTGGTCACAGGATGGTAGTACAGCACATAGAGTATAGTTATTGGTTCTGTAACATCTTCCTATGTTGACAGTAACTGCACTAGTTGGGGTGAGGATTTAATAGTGTCGGTAACTGTTGAGACACTGTTGTATAACTGAAATCAATATGATTGTATATTAACTATATCTCAATAATGAATGATTATTAATAAAAAATGGTGATAATCTACATGTCCAATTCAGAGGTAAAATTAATTACAGAAACACTCATATAAAGAAATATTATATAAAGCAATAAAATTATGAAAAATTACAAATTCTAATAATGTTTCTTAAGAAAACAACCCAAAATTACATTAAACTCACCATGACCGGGAGGAAATGTTTTCCATTTAGTGAGTGGAGCTAGCTCATATATAGATAAAGTAGGCCACTCCTTATAATATGGACACTTATGAATTAATTTCACCTTTTCTTTATTTTCAAGTTTTATTTCTTCCTGAAAAGAAAGTTATTTTTATATTAGGTAATGAAAAAATTAAAAAAAAGGACAGCAGATAGAAAATGACAGTTATACAAAAATAAAGGTTATATAAATGTAAATTAGTATAAAATACATTTTAATTTTATAGAAGCATCATTTATGAACACATAACCATACTGAAAATTTTATCTTCAGATCTGCTGCTAAAATTATAATTTCCTATGTTTTATAAGACTAGTAGAATTCTATAAATGTTTTACCATTTTTTCAAAACCCTGTCATAATCAAGACTAAACTCAGAAATTGTATTTGATAATATCAAATAAGTGATACTGATATTCTGAAACAAAAACAAAACATACAAAACAATTATTTGAAAGCCAGCCACTCTGAAACCAGGAATTTGGAAGGAAGTTGAATTCTGAGAAACTCATCTGTACCACTAACACTCAGCATCATACCTTAAGAAACCCTATTAGAGACCTAAGTCAAGAAGATGGGGGCATAGAAGCCACAGGGCATAAATCTGCAAAGAATTAAAAAGCTAAGCTTTTCAAACAATGTGGCTTCTCTCTCACTTACCAACTTTACATTTCTCTGTATGGCCCCGGAAGATGACTGGTTAGCCAGAGACGGGTAAGATTCCTCAAGGGAGGAACAACCTAAGACAGGCACAGTCGCAGGGGGGCCATCAGGTGAAAAACTGGGGATCAACAGAGGTGAGGCTTAGAACCTCACCCCCACTGTTTTGAGAGAAATCTTCTGCATCCGTGGATGTATTATTGCCCTTGTCTAGCTTGGATT